GTAAAGTAAAAATTCCACCGCAAACTACCTACCATATTTCCCCAAACACAGAGGTGATGTGATAATATTAGTCCCATGCGAATCAGTATCTCTGTGATTTGGCGTCGTTTTTTTTTTTTTGTGTGTTTTCCATGCCTTTTTTCTGCCTTTTTCCTGGTCGAGAATTATGGAGGCTGCGTTTGGCATTATAAATTAAAGTCTGTTGACACGCATTTTGGTGCAAATTCAGGGGGCTCATCTAGGGACACAGCATGGAGATCCCCATTCGCAGAAAGAGCAAGCCTCAAAATCCATCAGAAGAGGACAAATCCGGAAGATGACATGATGGATCTACATGCTGGCCAGCAGCGTCAAGGAAATAATTAGTTATTTATAGTAAATTCGAGTTAAAACACAGACTTCGCTTATCCCGTGCGAATGCTCCGCATGAAACACAGACATGGTGGGGTAATTACTAAATCACGAGGTCCCCAGGTAATACTAGTCCCTTGCGAATAGGGCTTTAGAATGATCCGTTTTTATCTATAGAGGAAGCGGGTCCTCTTCTATGGAGTCCACCATGTTTCCACAGTAGCCCAGAATGGACAAACCAAACACTGGCTCTAGATAGAGCCTTTCACATTCTTTGCGAGTTTTGTGGCCACCGTAGTTTCTCCTTCGCACCTGCTTAAGTCAAGCAGTTTCAGTCACCACTATATAAAAGATAGACCAAATGACAACTCTCCAAAAGCCGCCTGGTGAAAAAGTTTCCAAAAAATGTATTTGACGTGTACTTTATGACCTATACTGCAGTATAGGTCAAAAACTGATTTCTGTCATTTTAGGTAGTTTCTATCACACTGATGTTTGTACAAGTGTTTTTTTTTTTTGGGTTTTAATTAGTTATTTGAAGTTATGAAAAGGGATTTCATTCAATCTGCAACCGCACCACTAGATGCCGCTAAATCGTACATACTGGTCCTTTAAATGAAACCATCTGAGAAGAAATGTTTCTGTTTCTGTTGAAACAACTGAAACATGAGAAGGGGCCCCAGTCAGACACCGCCTTTTGGAGATTTGGAACCTGTGGTTTAATTTCTTAGCAAAGCATTGAGTTTAAAATGTACTTTTATGTAAAATCTCCATCTAGCAGTAGTGGTGAAGTAAAAAGCGCAATATTTCCCTCTGAAATGCAGTGTAGGAGAAATATAAAGTAAACAAAAAATTAAGTACACGTACTTAAATGTACTGTTACTTTCTATCCCTTTAAACAGTGCAGTAACTGATGAAGAGTATAATGTAAGTACTTTATTTACCCACTTTTCTAAGTACTTGCAGATTTACCGTAATCCCTTTAAAAACTGCTCACTCACCTTCGTTCTCCCACTCTGACAGAGACCTTTTGTCACTTCTCCTCACACTGCCGATGAACTCCGGAGGGACCGGTTCTATGTTTTGATCCAGGCTGGCGGGCGGGGAGGCTGCAGCCCTCGTAGCCCCCTCGCAGTGCTCCTTCAGCCCGTCCAGATCCAGCTGAGACAGCTCCTGGAGGAAACCCTCCCTGTCCTCCTCACTCAGCTCCGACCAGAACTGCAGGACGTGAGACTGCCCTGCGCTCTCCAAGCTCCGCTCCACTCGCTCCAAGGAAAGCATTTTGTGTGTGGGGAACAAAGCAGACTGTGCAGGAAGAGGGGTTCACACATGCACACACATCCAGCCTCCTTTTCCCAGCAGGCTACAGGAGGTGCAGGAGTGTGCTGGTCTGCAGGAAATGACTGTGTGTCATGAGCAACTCGTGACTGCAGCCCTCGGATCCAAACAAGGATCCTGTGGTGAGAAAGGCAAATAGAAGAGGATACAGTGCTGCAGCAGGATGACAGGCGTCTTTATGCTGTTTCAGGATTGCAGAAGCAAAACATGTCTGAAAGAAGTCCCTGAACAGCCACCGTTTCCTCTCAGTCAGCAACATGTAGAGGCTGTGTTGACTCAGCAGCAGCCGTCAGCTGACTGTAGCTGGTTTTAAAAGCAGAGGATGGACAAAGTCTGCTATCATTATATTCACACACGCTGTATCCACACACTTCCGCTGCGCTTTACAACAAGCCTGGTTCTGCTTCTGTGGTTCCCAGCAGTTTTAAGCCACTGAGCTAATCTGCCCAGGGACCGTCTCCAAATTGCCCCCGAGTATTTATTGTTGGTAGAATCGACATAAAGATGTTCCTTTATTGATAGATCGATCGATTGACATTCAAATTGGCACAGCAGTACAGGAGAATGTGGTGCAAAGAGTAAAGAAAGGATAAAATACAATAACATTACATATAAAATATATAAAGTATATACAGTAATATAGAATATGGTAAGCAATACAACTGTATAGCTGTATATGTGCAATGTTTCTGTAGTAAAAGATAGATGACGTTACAGCCCTCCAAAAGTGAAGCCAAAACATCTCTATCGCCCCCTGGTGGCGGACTGCAGTATAGGTCATAAAGCCCACCAACTCTATGTTAGCAGATGGGACATGGGCAAATCATTTTTTTTCCAAAGATGGTTTCTGTCATTTTAGGTAGTTCTTATCATGCTAATTTTATTGTAAACCATTGATGGTTCTAATGAGTTATTTGAAGCTATACAAAGGAGTTTCACATCATGATTGAAAGCGGAGTGCTGCTCGTGATAGAGTCAGCCAGGCGTATGGGCAGGACTCCGATACCGCAGCGCCAACCCCATCACTACTCCTCAGACTCTGGCTCCAAGTTGTGAAAGACAGCAGCGGAACCTGGGATATCATTATCATATTGGCTTCATTTTTGTACAGTGGCAGGAGACTGACCAGTCCATCTTTTATGTAATTTGGTTAAGACAAAATTTAAAGGTCCAGTGTGTAGGATTCAGTGGCATCTAGTGGTGAAGTTGCAGACTGCAACCAACTCAATATAGCTCAGTCTTGTAAGCGTGTAGGAGAAACTTCAGCAGCTATTTTTTTTTATTTATTTAACCAGACAAAAACCAGTTTAGATAAAATCTTTTTCAATGGTGACCTGGCCAAGATGGCAGATATTGAATGCACTCTAAATATATACAAAATATTATAGTGTTCTGGGCTGCTGTTCAGCAGGGCCGACTCTATAGAATAGGACCCCCTCTTTTTTTGTTTTTTCCTTTACTGAAGAGCATTGTATTGGACAATACATTATATATTTATAGCTACTATATACTATACTATATTGTCAGTATTTTAGACCCCTCAAAACTTCACAAATCTTGTCAGGGGAGCTCATGATTAATTAACAGGAGCCCTGGCTCCCCTGTAGTTCGGACCCTGATCAAACTATTCAATGATCCCTCTTTTCCTGCATGAAAGCATCTGCATTTGTCATGTTTCTCCAATCATTCATTCAGGTTTCTTCTTCTTCCCTTTCCTTTGTCACCTGCCTGTAAGCTATAATATCAGTATTTGTTGTCTGTTGGGCCGAAGACAACAGAAATCCTTTTACCCTTCTGACACAAGTATAATTTGAATGTCACAAAGTGTTTGAATTTCCCACCTGTCTGGTCCTATTACTACTTCTTCAATTACTTCATTTCTACAACTCACTGTCAGTTGTTTTTGCACAACTGCCCCACTTTCACTTCCACAGACTGTCTGGCTGTACTGCACTGTACCTTAATGTAACTGCTGTCTGTCACATGCCTGTCACACTGCTTATGGGTATTGGCTCTCTGCCCACTCAGTCTTTTAACCTTTGTGAACAAGCCTGTACAGTTAAAGCGACGGTTTCTCCCATGAGGTGGGTGCTGCGGTGTGGAGGTAAAGTAGTAAATACCAAATAAACCCAGATCAAAACACTGCTGAACTAGTTTATTTAACAGGTGAGATATACAAGCATATATATTTTTTAGCATAACATTCTTTCAATGGATGCAACAAACTACTGTACAACAACTCACATATTCATTCAGGCATGTCTAGCATAATAAAATAAAATAGAAATATATATACTGAATACACTAACATTTACCAATATACATTGTGTTTGTATAGTCTAGCACTTCCTGTACAGTTCAAGTTCCACTGGTGATTCGCCTAACTGCCTGTTAGTCAGAACAACATACAGTAAGGGCTACTGTTAAGACATTGGAGCGTTACTGCACTGTACAAAATATGGAAAACATGGTGACATCTTTCTCTGTCACTAATTTATGCATATAGCATATCAGAGCAAGGGGTCGGATACACACTTGTTGAGCCAGAGAGGAAGAGGAGGAAAGAGCGACGGGCTGAGACATTTGCTTCCAAGCATGTGAATGAGGATCAGCCAACAAATGTGAGCCCTTCGTCTCTTCTCCGTCTGCTACAAAGACACAGCGTGGTTTCAAAAGCAGACGTGGTGCTTTAGTAAGGCGGCTGACCAAAGGCAGCCTGGCATCCTGAAGCAAACAGTCCAACACGAGAGACTGCAGTTCTATCAGACATACACAGATTATAATAGTGAACACATCCTTTCTTTTGTTACATAACACACAATGGATACAGTACAATGAGATCCAGTTCAGATTGTATATGTCTGCCCAGAATGTGTTTATTCTTCATGATAGTCGGCTGTGCTTTTGCCTGAGCAGTGTTTGCAGCTGAAATGCAGGGTTTTTACTGTTGATCACCAAAACAACAAACTGCTGCTGCGGAGACGATTCCATCAGGGAAATCTTTGTATGGGGCCCCAAAGTGTTCAGTAGCAAATAAATAAGTATAAAATAACAATGATAATAATGAGATTTTTTTATTTACCTTATTATGAAATCTTATTTCATCATCTTATTTACATAATAGCAGTTTTATGGGATTTTTTTTTATTCCATAATAGAATTTTTTATTGTGAAATAACCTTTTTCAAAAGTCAGTTTTTTTAAATGATAGGATTTCCAAACACTTTTTTTTATTAAAGCCATTACTTATTTCAAAATGTCAATATTTATGACAGAGGTGTTGCCACTGCCCTCTCTCACCTTCAGCCAACCATCTGCCCAACAACTGCTATACAGTTTAGCCAGTTAGCACCTGTCCCCCAAAGTCATTTTAAACAACCAACCGGAGGCTGCTGCTTTAAAAAAAAAATCACAGTAACTAGACCTCTTCAGCTTTTAGCCTTTAAATGCTGCTCATGCTACCAACTAGCTAGATGGGGTTGTGAGCTTGGTTTATTACTCCGCATCAAAATGAGGAGCAAGTGTTAACTGTAGCAGCTAAGTAACTGTGGTTACTTCTGACACATTTTGATTCTAAAGATTTTCTTCAGAGAGAGAGACACGGAGAGCAAAAACAAAACAAAACTATTTCTGTGGTTTCTCTGGGCAAACAGGAGCCAGCTAACAATGCTAATGCTGACCCTTTACATTGATGCTGAATAAATACCCCAAACCCACGGCCGGCCTGGCTGGTTAACTCACTAGGCAGGTAGCATGGAAGCATTTTTAAGCTAAGGCTAAAAGCTAAAGAGATTTAATAGCTGTCTGTGTGTATTTACAGCAACAACCAGGGTCCCAGTTTGCTGTCAACTTAACAATTATTTTTTTATCATTTTCTTTATTAATGATTTTTAAAAATAACGATTTAAAAAATGGAAATTAGTTCAATGAAGACATGTATTTTGAAAATAAAACAATATACTGATCTCTAATGCCACCTTAAGATATTTCTATTTAGTGCTTTACTAATGTGCCACAATAGTGGAATGTGTTTGGGTTCAAATCTCTTCATTTGGGGGCTTTTCCAAGCAAATATTGATATGTTATGTCTCCTTGCCACTCCATGACCTCTAATTGCTGTGGCTCCAGTTAACAAACGCTAACTGGCTAACTTTGACTACAGTTGTTGAGCTTGCTAGCTTCAGAGAGGCAGAGGGCATGTGATTGGCTGAAAGGTTAGACAACAGGTCGTCAATGGTCATTAAAAGTCTTATTGGGCAATAAAACTGGAAAAATGTCATTCAGAAAACTATATGAAATAAAAGCCAACTTTTTAGAGGGGCATTTTGAAATAAAAATATCTATAATAAAATAAAATGCAATCATAAATGATGACAAAACATTTCACAATGAGTCGAGTTGGAATTTTCTTCAATTATATCACAAATTGTTGGTTTATTTGTATATTTTACACAATGCGTTCATATGACTATTTGGTAGTAAACACTTCGGGGCTCCATGTCTATTGAGGCTTTGAATTTTTAAGAGTCACTTCTTAATCAGTCGCTTCTTTCACCAAAATACAAAAATACATCCATCTGACTCCTCAGCACAACCAACAGATCACAAATTCAGTCAACAATCTGTGTTTTGTAAAAATAAATAAATAAATAAAGTAATAAATAAAAAAAACATACAGCAGAGTACCTTAAAGTGCATTCAATGTTCTACAGACTCCGCCTCTTAAAGTGTTTCGGCACATTTACATAAGCTTGGCACGCAAGGCACTCATGGGAATCTGTGAGCATTTGACACAGGGCAGCAGTCGGGTTGGGAGCGCTGCCTCTGCTGGATGTCCTTCAATGTGACTTAAAGGAGTGTTTATTTACATCGTACAACAATGGCAAACATCTATAGCCAATAAGCCGGTTAAATATTCCCTAGAGATTCTGTAGCTACCGACAACATCTGGGAAAATACTGAACAGCAGTTGAACCTGTAAATTCTAACGATAATTTTGACAAATATTGCGTTGGGATATGACTCATGATTAGTGGGAATGATCATTTTTGCATCAGAATATACATTTTTACTCAAAAAACTATTTAAATCATGATGATTTCTTGAGGTCTGTAGTGCCAAAGAAACATGTTTTCCAACATAGGCCAGGGTATCCTGATTGATCTCGCGATTTTGTCCAGTCACAGAAATGTTTCTGCAAATTTGACCAATCATTGTAGTTTCCCTCAGGTGATATAACTAGTAGGGCAACACAGCAACCACAGTGTGGGCATGCAGGCAGGCTGCTCTTTGAGTCATAATCCTCTCCTCCACATCGAGCAGCCTCACCTGCAAAGGTAGCCAGCAGTTGGTTTGCTGTTGCTGCCCTCTTTCTGCTGCTGTCGCTCAGTTACACTGTGGGCAGTAACTCATTGCTACTAATAACATGACTTTCCCCAGTAACTAGTAGTGAGTAACTAATTACTAATAATGCTCAGTAATAATATTACAGTTACCCCCCCAAAAATTATTTGTTGCTACCATACTTGAGAAAATCCTACAATCCAATCACATCTTTGGATTCATTTTTGTAACTAGCTTGGAATATGAATATGGAAATATTCACATTACACTGATTTAACAAATAAAACTGGATTTTCATTGTTGTAAGTCTGAATTTTGGGGAGAAAGGACACAATTACCAGTTTTGTGGGGAGTAGCAGAAAGGTGATATAACTAGTAGGGCAACTAATTATTGTCAATTATTATTAAAGAGTAATGAATTACATTATTTGAGTAACTAGCCCAACAGTGCTCAGTTAATGGTTAAATGCTATATGGCAGATTATCATTCTGTGCAGTAAGTCTATTGTCTACTGGATCTGCGGAAATGAAAGCAGGACTGTGTAACTTTTGAAAGAAGACATAACATCACATCCCTTTGTACAAATGAAAAGTTGAATTCATAAAAAAAAAAACTCAAAACAAACTTTAGACATATTGTGTTATGTTACTGAGTCAGTTCACTGACATTACAATCTTTCTAATAATGTCCTACTGTTTTTTGTTTTTTTTGCAGTGGTTTTATCACAAAAATAAAACAAGAGGTAAACAACAAACATGTCTCCTAGTGAGTATAGACTAGGAGACACGTTTGTTGTTTACTGGGGGATTTTTCAGGCCGATATTGATTTTAGATGTGGATTGTGCACACCGAGTGCTGACCGATATTATCAGCAAGGCCCTATATTCAAGTGAATCTTGGGAAACAAACTTTCAAATTCAATGTTCCACTATTGGAAGACTCCTCACCTCTCTAAACATTTGCATTGAGGACATCAAAGGGCACTAAAGACAGCTCAGACTGTACTCAACAAATATTATGTCTGGAATAGCACAGCCAAACATAAATCAAAACACTTTCACCTGCTCTTCAAAACTCAATGTTCCTTACACCCCACAGTACAAAAGAGTGCTGGACTGAACAAACAACATAATAACACGTGTGCTATTCCTACGCCCTTACCAAAACATTAAGGGTAGCGCTGGAGGAAGATTCATTCCTTTGGAAGCATTAATGAGTTTTTGGCAATTTAATGAAAACTGTGGATTGCATTCAGGCCAGAGGGAGTGTCGGAGTGTAGATAATGCAATGGTTGAACCTGTCTGCTGTGGGAAAGAAAAGCTCCTGATCACCTTGTTACATAGAACACAGCTGTGGATACCCTCTAGATCAACACAAAGGAGCACATTACATACCTGCAGAGGTTACGTCTACATGGGTTTTCTGCAGTCACTGTACTTTTGATTATTAATAGTGTTCAAGTCTTCCAGTAGGACGACATAGGAAATGCTCTGTGAAACGCCTTAGCAAAGCCCTTCGAGACAAAGAGTGTTCATTGACTGCAGAACCGCTCCTGCCACGTCAATGTCAGTGCCCAAAACCAGCAGGTGCATTTTACTGGTCCACCAGTAAACCACTTCAATATAAACTTGTCCTCCTAAACTAAGATTAGGTTGAAGCACAGCTGGTTTGCCAAAAGAAAGATTTAAATAAGAGCAACTTACAGAAATGTCTTAAATCACGCCTTCCTGATCCTCTAAGTCTTCATCTCTTCAGCCTCTCTGTTTTCATTCCTCTTCATTTAATTTGATTGATTGATTATTTGATTTAAATACGTAGAATGTAAGCTTTAACTTTAGTCTTCAGCTGGAAACAAAAACAAAAACAAAAAACCTGTTGCACCTTCATCTTCTCACTCTGCCTCCCTCCTCACTTTGACTGGACCCCCAGCTTGATCTTGAGGTACTCGTAGACCACGTAGCTGATGCTGACAGACGGAATGACCTTCATGAAGTTGGGCGCCAGGCCTCTGTAGAGTCCCATGGGCCCCTCGGTCCTAATGATGTGTCTGAACAGGCTCGTCATGCTCATCTGAGGGCCTCCTTCCAGGGTAGCTGAGGAAGAGGGCGACGACACGGATCATTACACACAAAGCTACCCTCTTGTTCTTGGTTCCCAGAGGTCTAAACACACAAACAATTAAAGATGCTCCAATTTTTTCGTCTCATATCAGAACTCTATAGAGATCATTTAGGAAGTGGCTGCCATCACCACCTTCATTGTTTCTAAGCTGCTGTTCTCATGGCCTTCCATGGCTATAACCAGGTCACCGCGGTAACCAGAAAAATTAGGAAAATGATGCAGGAGCTCATTTTACTATCCAGGTTCACTGAACTATGCATAGAAAATCACTAGAATTACTGCTCTGTGGTTGTAAGCCTGCTCCAACCGGTCAGGTTGCAGTTTACTGCATGTTTTTTAACGAATGCAAATGCATTCATATGCATATAGCTGTTTAAAGAGGTTAGCTGAAATGTAAACAATCCGGTCATATCATCATCTCTTAACTCCATTCTCGTGTCTCAAGTTACTAATCAGACTGTCAATAATGAAGTGGAAGTCTTGGCCTGGAATACCAGAAGGCCTGAAACATTGGCTGTTGCTGAGCCAATGGGTTCTGAGATTGTGCAGCGACTGACCTTGTGCCTGCATTCGAGTCCTGACCAGGGCGAGTGGGTAGCTGGACAGCTGGCCACATGTGCTGGAAGTGGTGCAACAAGCCAGGAGCACAAACACTCCCGGATCAGCGCTGTCTGTGGCAAAGCGCTGCAGCCAGGAATTCTTCAGAGTCTGACAGAGTAGAGGAGAGCAAAGGAGTCAGACCGAGCTAAACAACAATAAACAACAGAGTTGCCCCTTGATAGCGACCACGCACCTCATAGACGGCCAGGTCGATGCCAGCGTAGGGGATGATGCCCAGCATGTTGGGGATGTAGCCCTTGTAGAAAGCAGCCACACCTTCCTTCCGGAAGATATGTTTGGCACAATCCAAGATGCCCGAGTACTGGCCTGTCTTCCTCAGGGCTAACCGTGTCTTTAGAACCTGAGAGGACAGGAAGTGATGTCAGGCCTCCTGACAAACAAAAGAAACCTCCACTTTGTTGTCCAAGAGTCGTAGAAAATCTTTCATAATTGGACAAACACAGACTAGCATACATATTCCGTGCATTATCTTTCACATAAAAAATAAGTTGTGTTATGAACCTCATTTACGTAAATGACTTGCTCACACTTTGTGCATAACTGAAGGTCTGTGAGTCTGCGTGTGAAGGTCTGTTTTCCTCCAGATAACACACAGTACAGTTTCACATGATGGGTTCAAGGCTAAAAGTTAAAATGGGCAGTCAGTCACAAGACACAAAAAGAGTTACTACAGTACATTTAAAGGACCAGCGTGTAGGATTTAGTGGCATCTAACGGTGAAGTTGCAGATTGCAACCATGTGAACACAGCTCAGCCTTCCAAGCGTGTAACAGAAACTACGGTGGCTGCGAAACATGAAAAAAACGAATCCCTATCTAGAGCCAGTGTTTGTTTGTCTGTTGTGGGCTATTGTAGAAACATGGCAGACTCTGCCAATGTAGATAAAAAAAGGCTCATTCTAAGCTAACAAAAAACACAACGATTATTATTTTCAGGTGATATTATATTATATTCAACTTCTGCCAAAATAGATCTTCCTAAATGTAACACACTGGACCTTTAAATAATAAATAGAAACTTAATGAACACTTAAATTTTTTAAGCAAGTCTTGCTTGAAAAATTGTTTCATTTTGTCTTAGCCTCTCACCTCCATGGGGTAGATGCTGCTCTGAGCAATTACTCCAGCCAGAGAGCCAGCCACCAGTCTCTCTCCAATGCCCAGCGTCTCCTGGTTGCTTCCGATTAATCGTTTAATCTGACAGAAAGGTCATTTTGTTATGCAACAACATAAAATGTGACACAAATAAACAGCTATTGGAACCAGAGCTGTATTGTTGTATACCTGTTCGTAGGCCATGAACTTAATAGCAGACTCAGGGGCGATTTTGATGACATTGATGCCATTGCCTCGCCACAGTGACCTCACACCGCCCTCTCGGATCATCTGGGCAAAGCCCCCAGCAATACGCATGCTGTTGCTCTTGGAGGAGTGAACCTGAGGAAGCCGGGACCAGTCATGATCACTATTTCACTTTACACATTTTAGAATGAAAATATCACTCTTTGCCAAAATGCTGCCTCATTCATTGTTTCATTGTTGAGTGCTGAGTTTTACCTGCATGAGTACTTTGAGCCTGTCCAGAGGTGCTGTGCAGGTTCGAGACACAGCACCAGCTCCTCCTCCGGCCACAAGGTGTCGCCACAACATTCCTGTTTTCTTCTCCTCTGCCGTGAACTCGTCAGGAACCAACAAACTCTCCCCAACATCAAAGATCTGATGAGGTCGGGTTTCAGAGGGGTGGGGGTGGGTACCAAATGAGATACAACACAAATCATAAGTAAGGGAGATGTGGTGTGAAACAGAGGAAGTGCTATCTATACCGAGAGTGGCAGGGATTTTTGTGTGGGGACTATTTCTGCAGGCTTTCTTCAGGGTTTAACAGGTTTCAGACTATTCTGAATGCAATTTGAGATAATAAACGTACCAACGGTATAAAAAAGAAATATCAGCATTGGTTCCATGTCAGTTTGGTTTTGTAGTTACAGCATGATCAATACACATTTTAAGACTTTTTAAGACCCCACAGTTACCCGGATTTCTTACTGATGCAAAAAAAGAGAAATATTATAACTCATGATGTATTGTTAAGCCCTATGTGGACTGGATTAATATTACAGAATAAATGCAGTAAAGGAATACTAAATCCTTGGTTATTAAACTCGTTTGCCAGGAGGCTTTACTTACAGCATCTGGTTCGTGCGGGAAAATCAGGTGACATTCATCACCACTGGGCTTATCAAATTATATAGTGTCATTATATATATTGGTACTATTTAAATATTTACCAGTAATTCAATTACTTACACATACAGTTATAAACTACTGAAATGGCTTTCTCTGAATGCTCATATGCTTTTACAAGAACAAAGGGGCTGCTATCGTTGTATTTACCTCTCTACTCATAAAATCAGTTACACAATGCAGACTTGCCATGAGTGACAATGCTACAGCCCATTTGATGAGTCTCTGGAAACTATCAGGTCAGCAAAATCCTTTCCCCATTCTTCACACAGAACTCAAACTGAGCTGCTGAAACTGAAATGCACCAGAACTCATGCACTTTTAAAACGTGTAGCGTCTCTCTGCACATTTGGGATCTAAGTTACTGGATGGTAAGATGGTAGGTGCAATGATTCTGTATAATAAATCCTTTCCGAAGTTGTGTCCTTTTGAAGGTTTTAAAATATATAAAATAAAAACACAAATGCAAAAGGCATATGAAAAGACTAATAACAGAATGATATATCTTTATAACAAGAAACTTTTCTTGTTTTTAAAAGATCCTTTTTACACTAAAAGAAGATTTTTTTTATGTTGTGACATTTTTCTTTCTTATTCCTAGATACCAAATTATTGTGTTTTTATAAGAACATTTTCTTGTTATAACAACATACCACTTTATCCTGATATATCACGAAACCAACTCAATGTACCATTAAGTGACAAACAAAACAACCTGAATCTGTTCCTTTCTGAGCTAAACTTGGCTACTTCCTGCTTTTTGCGGTTACTTCAAGACATCCCAGTAGCTCTCATTCAAAATTTGGAGTTTGATATACAAATCCCTCAAGCTAAAAGACTAGAAACAATATGATCCAACATACATTCTAACCACCTAAAACTAGCATCTATAAGTGCCTATGAATTAATACATTTTACATCATTTAATGTAACACTCATGTTGAACATTTCAGCTTCCTCTGTCTCATGCATTGTCCCCACATACACATTTTAGTAGAAAAGATGAGATTTTGGTTTGGAGTCGAGTGGAAGAGTGTGTACCGTGGAGTGTTTCCAGTAGAGGATGATCTCAGGAATGTTGTCTGCTGGATGCAGGAGGTGGTAATCCCGCCACTCATTCCAGTCAATTGTCATTGTGCCGTTTTTATCCATACTGGGGATGTAAAGTAACACAGACTGTTAGAAAAGTGACAGTTTCAGACAGCAGAAAAAACAAGCTATCTGCTCACATGCACTGTTTACTTCTTAATAATGCTAACATTTGTGCATATGGCTTCCTTTATGAGCTCAAGTGCATTTTGTTACTTGAGCGCTCTGTACCACAACAGCATTTCTTTGTTTTACCATTGTTATATTTGTTGTATTTTTAATCTGAAAGGACTGAAAACAAATAGCAGCTGTAACTGAAGGAGACAGATTATACAGTGGTGATCAGTGCTGGCTGAGCAAGCAGACCATAGAAGCTACTACTTACTACAAGATAGGGGCCCAGATATGACCCCTCCTTATTCTGAGACCAGCCAGAGAGAAGAAGAGACAAACAGACAGACAGACATACAGACAGACAGGAGGTTAAAAGAACTAGACGAGGATTACACTGAGCCATAACAACATGAGCCAGGTGCTGCTAGATAAATAGAACAACTAGATAGTTCAGTGAGTAGTGACAAGCACCATGATTGATGGTTTAATGTAAGTGATGGCTTTTTGTCATTCAGACACATGTGGCCATCATGTAAATCTTTCTACCTTTTTGTTAACAGGACAGTACCGGAAAGAGCCACAGTGCTTTGCATGATATTTGGGAGTGTTGCTGCTGAGCTAAGAGGTAATGATCTTAAAGCTGCAGTAGGTAACTTGTCATAATTTGCTGAAACTTTCACTATATCCTGAAAATCAGGTTCTTCTGGCTCCTCCTAGCACTCCTAATGGCATTTGCAAGAATCCACCAGGCCTGAATGAAAACAACTAATCAGAGCCAAGAAAGATGCTTTAGGTTGGTGGCTTGAATATAGTTGATCATTGAGTCTCATTCCTGGTCTTTGTATTTGATGACGCAGGAATGAGACCCAATGATCAACCATCATTCTTCTCTTTTTAATCTGCCTTACTTTGGAGTAATGTTAGGTTTAATTTAATGTGGTCATTATTATGATTATATAGTATTGTATTCATTTTTTGCATTGCACAATTTTATTCTTGGTTGTTCATTTTGTTTTTCTGCATTTCAGTTTGCTATATGAAGCATTTTGGGCTGAATGTTTGTATGAAAGGTACTATATAAATAAATACAAATATAATAAAAGGGATTTTTTATAAAATGAACCTACTGCAGCTTTAATGTCGTTTATAGTTGGCAGAGTGTCACACAAAGTACCTTTAATTGGCTTTTGACAAACATAGACATTTAGAGACATTGCAGGGTTAGGAAACAGGCAGGTATTCTCCTGTGAGTCAGGTGGTTTGTGGGGGTTTGAGGTAGTCTACAGGTTGTGGCTCACTGTGGATACTGTAATACTCTACATACATCTAGGACATCAGGTTCAATATATGACATGATACATTATACATGACATATATTGTACCCATAAAGGTAGCTACTGTAAATATAAGTGATGGGAAACAGGAACTGAAACTGTCTGAGAAATTATAAGAAAATAAGTGAGAGTATCATGCATATAATATGGACCATTATGGGACAAAGGAGGTGGGACAAGATGCTGGGGGCGTATGAGAAAAGAAAAGAGATAAAGAAGTCCTTACAAAAAGCCGTACATCCCCTGATCCGTCAGAGGAGCGGAGGGCAAGCCTGGGAGAGTTTGGTGAAACAAAAGATTTTGGAACTGAAATAAAAGCATATTAGCACTCTTGGATTGAGTGCCCTTTTTTCACACTTACACTACCGGTCAAAAGTTTTATAACACTTCAATATTTTCAGGTTTTCATTGAAATTCATGCAGTTGATGTCTTATTGTACGCTCAAATGAGAGCATGGAACAAATACAAATAAAAATCATGGAATCAATTTATAAACCAAAATGTATTCTAAACCACCTTTGGCAGATATAAAAGCTGAACACACTCGTGGCATTCTTTCTACAATGGAAATCAAATATTATTCAAAAAGGTCTTCCCAACTCTGTTGCAGAAGTTCCCATAAATGTGTGACACTTGTAGGTTGCTTTGCTTTCACTCTTCTGTCCAGTTCANNAGCACTCCTAATGGCATTTGCAAGGAGGAAAGATAGTTGATTGTTGATTTAATCAGTGAAATACATTTAACATTGCTGTGCATGTATTTAGCAACCATAACAACAAATGTAAATTTGACCATTAATAGGCTGTATGAATGCCTGTACTTTTACAGGTGCATATTTGAAAGAGGCTAAAGAATTGGCGCTATACAAATAAAATTCAATTCAATTAAAGAAAAGTGTCACAGTGTAACTTCATTTACAGATATGACAAAAATTATTGCCTGTAGTTGTCAGGAGGGGTTATACAATCCAATCACATGCGTAAAAATGTGACATATTACAGAACGGAAAAGATGGGACACATCACATATACACTTACAGAAAGGGAGTAAACTGATTTGTGTGAATCACGGTGTCACTCTTACCTTTTGAGGATCTTCTCAGCCTGTTCCTCTGAGATGTTCACTCCCAGGTCACGCAGAGACTGCATAATTTCTTGTGAGTCAATCCGGCCTGCACCACAGAGGTAAATTAGTTATTTATTAAGTGAAGTTAAACTCCACTGATTTTATATATAAAGGCAAGTTTACTGGTTACAGTGAGGAACACTCATGTACAGCTGTATAATGTCCTATGAGTCCTTAAGTAACTATTGAGTCTTACAAAAGGACCCAGAGTAGTGCATTCTTCTTTATTCTGTCTCTTGTGAGTAACCCTCTGTTTTTTCTGTGATACTGTGTTGGTTCTATCTGTCCTCACTAACCAACAGCAGACTTGAAAACTCATTTTAACAGGACCCCTTACCATCATTCTTCTTGTCCAGACTCTTGAAGACCAGTCGGAGTTTCTTCTCATGGTCTCTGAGATAATGAACAAACTCCTCGAAGTCTAACTGTCCGTCCAGGTCTTTGTCCCCTGCTTTCACTATTTTCTATAGGGAGAGAAAGAGACAAGAGAAACCTTTGAGGGACCATGGAGAAACAACATGTGAGATGGGGGACAGGGAAAAAAATCTTATAAAAATGTTGGTCAACATGTTTAAGCTGTGTATATTGTAACTTTATCTAGGAAGGATATTAACTCAATCAGCGCTGTTATTAAAGCCATACTGCTTTGTGGACAGATTCATGTGAGAAATAGCAGCAGAGGTAAGAGCAAAGCTTCCACCATCTCCTACCATCTGTACACTGTTGACTTAGCCTGAAGTTCACCACTTTACAGCCATCACACATATCAGGTTATTAGGCATCTTTAGACAGTCCGCGGCACTCTCTCCCAATACAGTGTACCAAGCCAACCGGAAGGATTTCTACATGGAATTAGCTAGAACATGAATATATACACTTACTGGTAGGAAATGGCTGCCTGAGGGAAGGAACAGCTGGGTGCGCAGGCCAGAGAGGAAATCTACATGTTTGCTTCTGTCTGGCACCTGAGCAATACTTTAACAAATGATTTGCTCTCCGAGCAAGCAGATAAATCTAAATCTAACTGAGCATGAGAAAAAAAAATCATCCATGTGCACCACTGGACTCACAGGATGGAGACCAGTCCATCGGTCACTGTTTGAGGGACTGGATGTCTGTTTTTCTTCTACAATTAACCATATTACTGAACTAGAATTACAATCCTGTGGTGTTTCTGCAGACCAGTAAAGTTACGATGTAAAGATGGATTCTTGTAAAGTAAAGCTATACAAAATGTAGTGCTTTCATTTTCTCCTTGGATTATTAGATGCAACAGCTCTCCATTACACCCTTTCACTAATGCAAAACTAGTGCTAGTTCTGGGCTGGTGCTGGTTCAGAGTTTTAGGACCGGTTTGCTTTTCCACAGGCCAGAGAGCCACCACAGGGCCACGTCATTACGTCACTGTATACGTCTCCAACCTGAGCTATTGTTACCAAAGTTACACTAGCTGGCATGCTAGCTGTTGGTCAGCTAACATTACCCTAGAAAGCATAGCCAATTTCTCAACAAGGTTACTGACGTCAAACGAAACATCAAAGTTACAAATAAAACATTCATGTGTGAAATTAGTAGTATGCTTGCTTGGGTAATGTAGGCTGGCCAACAGCTAGCTAGCTAGCTCACTGTTAGCTCACATGTGGTTGGCCACAAGGCACCCCCAGCCCCTGTTGTTCTTGGTTCTAGACCAGCAAAGTGTTAGTGCTGCACTGGAACCAGTTTTCCTGGCTGAGAGTTGGTTCTTTAGCTGTCGAAACGCAAATAACTGGTTCCAGATTAGGCACCGGCTCCTAAGCATCCCTCCAACTGCCTTGATATAAAAGTGGTTTGTGAGCTGTACATGAAAGTCACTCACTCACAGGATTACTATTAGCTAGGTGTGCTACAATAAGTTGTTTGCAGTAATGTGATTCCAATGACGCTTGAAATTTAGAACGAGGCAGGAAGTGAAAGGCAGAATGGATGAAATGGAAAGATGAAAACCTGTACTATTGTTTACTGTGTCGTCCCAGTCAACATGTTTGTGAAGTCTGGAATCAGCCAATTCTTAGAACTCATTCTTAGATTTTGATTAAAAACCTATTTTGAGGTCACACTGCCCTGTGACCTTTGAGCCGAGTGTCACCAGTTCAGTGTTCGACCAACTGTGAAATATGGTCACAATCTCCCCTTCTGTTCCTGAGTTATGGTGTAGCATAACATCCAAAGAAGTTTTTTTTCCAGAACATTATGTCACAGCGAAACATTTTCGGGGAAAAAAATTGTTGTATTTCATTAAACATCTGTCACATTTTGTCATAATTACAATTATGATGAAAAAACAAGTGTTTTCTGATGTCACACAAATTCTGATCAGTTCATTCTGGAGTCCAAGTGGACGTTTGTGAAAAAATCTGTAGCAATTCCTTTGAGGCGTTACTGAGATAACCTGTTCACAAGACGGACAGACAGATGGACAACCTGAAAATCATAATGCAAAGCCGGTAGGAGCCAGAAAAACAATTACCTGAACATTTTTTGTAGCATTTTTACATATTTTAGATGGCTTTGAAGTTACAGTATTATCATGACATGGTAATGCAACTGTAGTAGAGGAAGTATTAAAGGACTAGTGTGTAAAATTTAGTGGCATCTAGCGGTTGCAGATTACAGTCTCTGAAGGCCAGTGCTTCTACGACTCCGCTAATTAAATAACATGAGTTATGTATGCATGCATGTATGCCACACAGGCTGTGATGCTGTGGCACCAGGACTCTGTCAGGGGCAGTAGGTCAGACTTTGTAGAAAGTGAGGAGTCTGATCAGAAGTTGGTTAGAACGATTAAGCATCCGAAGTAGAATTTAGTAGAAGTTTGAGTTTGTTTGGCCAGTGGATTTTTTTTTATTGCGTATTGGTGCATCCCTTAAAGAATTATAGCATACTGAAATAAAAAGCAGTTTCCTACTGACAGGTAAAATCACTATTGCTTCTAATTCTAACTTATCAACACATGCTTAATGCATTTTTACTTAGCCTCATTTACATATGTTGTTGTCATTGGCAAAGCACCTGATTCCTGAACTATGATTATACAAATACACGATGGAACATTCAAAATAAAAAATATACTTTAGTCAGAATTTAGGAGGACCTCCCTAATAAACACTACATGAGTTTCAGTTATCAAAGGCAATTAGTAAAGACAGGTCACACCATTATTGCACTGATTATACAACACAAACATCAAGTCATTCACACAGATTGTGCCTCTAACCCAGCAGATAATCTAATAATCTTAAATTACAGCAGAATGAGGACAAAGCAAAGGTTTTCATTCATACCTTTCTCCACTTACGATATGTCATCAATTCATGTGAAGGTAGAAATAAACTCAGCTTCAACACTGACTTTGTTCCAGATGGTAATCCATTTGATTCAAAATACTCAAATATATTGTGGTCCACACTGGACACAGGGACATAGAGACACAGACACATCAGGTTTCCTCTACTGTCCAACTGAAAGTACTAAGGAGTAAGTGGACTATACAGTAGGCAAACTGTTTGCTCTCTGTGGAATATTCCTGGAGAACAGTGTCATTAGAGCACAGGTATAATGCATAAAGAGCTCCACACCCACCCAGCCCTTAACATTGAGGTGGTTCTCTGCTGTTGCTGAGCAGACCGGAGATAAATACAGTGGTTTTGTTGTAGATGATGCCATGCCTTTTCTCAGAAACATTCAAGTATAATGCATTAAGGTCTAATCATTTACTCAGTAGAGTGCTGCAGGATTGAGTGAACAAGTCTGCACCTCCAGCTCGCTCTCCTTGAAGTCAGTGGTTGCTTTGAATGGGTTTTTTGGTTAGATGACTGTAAAAAGGTCTGTGGTTAACATAATTCAATTCAATTTTATTTG